CTCCGGAGTCACAAGTCACAGGGGTGCTCCCGGCCAGGACTGGCTGCCACGTCACTCATACTCACGCAGGAGATGGCCTCGATAACAGTGCAGGGTTCTCCTCCCAGGACACCCCTTCATGAGGCGGAGGGAAGCGGTGGGGTGGCTCACTGGCCCCGCGAGCCTGCAGGATCCAGCTGGTTCAGCTCGGACTGATCCAGCAGTTCGAAGTCATCCCCTTCCGCATCAGTGTCCAAGTCCGAGCTGGCCGTTCTAAGGTAAGTCTTTGCCCCTCTCTGGGGACCGCCGCTGCGGGAGGAGCCCGGCTGAGGGGCTCCCGACAGCGCCAGCTGAATCATCCCTCTGGTGACAAACCCGGCGATGTTGTCAGTCAGGTTCTGCACAGATGGCAGCGCGCCAGATTCTTCCTGGTCGTAGGGGAGATGCAGATCTCCTGTTGCTTGCAGACGGGAAGCCAGACTGGGGATCCCGATGCTGGTGTCATCTTCGTCATCTATGCCAGTTGCTTCTGGGTTAATGGAAGGGAAGTCAGGGAGATCCCTGGCAAAAGATTCTTCGGGGTCACTGTGACCGTCCAGGTCTAGAAGAGGAGAAGGGGCTTTAGACAGACCGTAGGCGCCAGGCGCGCTGCAGCAAGGGCAGCGCGGCACACGCCACCTCCCCGCGACAGACTGACCCCATCTCCTGTCGTCACACACCACACGCTCCTTCCTCTCCCCCTCCCGCAGCGACAGGATGCCGGCTGACCTCCCCGTTCGCTCACGAGGAACACGGACGCTGAACCAGACCCCTCCTGCCAGAGGGAGCACCCCTGAATCCCTACAGCCAGAGACTGGCAGAGCTGGATCTGCCTCTGAGGAGCCGCTGTCCTCGCTCTGCTAAAGCGCCACAGGAATCAAGAAGGAAGCTCAGTTCCATAAAAACAGGAAGCTGCATCTCATCTTCGCCAGCAAGCCAGATGTCAAACAGCTGGACCTCAAGGACAGAAGGCGATGATGGCACCCGCCCTCCCAGCCGTCCACTGGCACCTGCTGGGCATTGCAGCCCTCCCAGAGAGTGCCCGTTGGCTCTCACCTTCCGAGCCCTCTGTCAGGGGAGTCTGGCCCCTCGAAAGGTTAAACATCCCGTTCTCGGTGTAGGAAACCTCAGCATCCGAATGCTCCGAGTCAGAGATGGTCAGTTCCTTGGCAACCACGGAGTCATCCAGCTTTGAAATAGGAGAGAAAATTGAAAATATCAAACACTGGAAAGCTTATTCCTGTGCCTGGAGAAAAACCACATGATCCAGTCGCTGCCAGTTAAACCCAGTCCTCATGGGAGGCTGGTATCACACTCTACTGCCCAGCCTAGGAGACTGTAGTCAGTACAAGCTATGCTGGACATATTTGAGAGACAGAATAGGAAAGACCTCTCTAAAAGGAGATTCATCTGGTCATCTGATTCTCCATCACAAGGCAGCTACAACGTGCTGGACACAGGGCCATGCGCTGCACGTCCACACAATGCAGCGAGTTTGTTCCGTTCAGCTGAGCTCTTCCGTGTCAGAGACGCTTCGTTACCTTGGGACAGAACGCGGCCAGCTCCTCTTCGCTGTCACTCCCATCATCCACAGCCTCCTGATTCAGGGCTCGGCGACGCACTGCCACAAACCAGAGTCAAAGCTGATTGCTGCTGCTAGCACAGGGGTCTGTACAGGACCAGCCTTATGCTAAGCAGCAAAACCCTCAGCTGGCAAGCTTGGACGTAACGTAACACAGCATGCTTTGTTCCACAGCAGAGCAACGCGGTCATTTCTGACATATTTTGCTGAGATGAACATGTTCAGCAGCCACCTTGCACCAAGTCCTCCCTCTTTTTTCAGCGCCACAGCAACGTGGAACACACAGTTCCGGCAGCTGAGAAACGAAGCGGCTCAGCACCGTCAGGAGCTTAACACTGGCGGCTCGCTGGGAGGTGCCTGCGGAGGCACAGCTGCCTCGTGCCCTTCCCAAAGCACTTGCAAGGATTTGCCAAGGGCGCTGGAGCGACGACTGCCACGCCACACACGCAGCCCTGTCCCGCTCCGAGAGCAGGGGCTCGATGCACAGGCTGTTTGGGGTACCAAGGGGCAGAAACACAGCACAGGAACTTACGTTGCTTCTCCCGCTGCTTTGCTATCATGTAGCCTCGAACGCTGAAATCCAGCCGCTGCAGAGCTGGCTCCAGCTTCATGTACATGCGCTGCCCCAGCCTGTGGTACACAGCGAGGGGCCACAGCAGGATGAAGAGCACTGAGGTAAGTGGGAACGCTGATTAGAAGTTTGTTCAGAGTGCTACTTGGCAAACATCTTGCCCGTTTTGCGACGCAGTATAACGCACGCAGTATGCAAGATCTGAGTACCGACGGCAACGCTGCGGGAGGCAGTCAGCATTGGTGCAGTCACCTCTGCCAATTCAACAGAATTGAGAGGCCAGCCTCTTGGTGCTCAGATCTGCAGTTACTAAGCACTCAAACATGTTCTCTCTGGACCGGAGACCTTAGAGTCCTGGTCAAGAACCACCACATTCCAGGCAGAATGTATTATTTTAAATTTTTTAGCCATTCACACAAGCATTCCTTTTGAGCAGAAGAGCCCCCATCCCTCAGACATTCGGATCCCACTCATCTCTACCCCTTTTCACTTAGAAGTCTGTACTGGCATGAAGATCTACTTACAAAGCAAGTATGAGAGCAAGAGTCCAGGGATGTACCGGCCCAGGACAGCCAGGAAGGTAAAGACTCCACACACTAGAAGGCAAAACTGAAGACAAGGGAGACAGTGAGTTTCCAAGGCTAAGCAGTGCATTCACTCAGTTCTCGACTGTCTTGTTCTCTGCAGATTCTAGGTCAAGTCATAATTCTAACAACAGTGAAGCCTTCCTAGCGTTCAGCTACCGAGCTCCAGCACTAGTGCAGATACAGGAGGTACCTGGCTTCAGAGCGCCAGGCAGCATACCAAGGCCTCAGAACATGAGGAGCTGCCCAAGGCAGGCAGGCTAGAAGCAAGGAAGAGGCTAAAGAAGACAGAACTCCTCGAGGTGAGAAGGACAAGGGCAGTACCACCGTGTTACAGGTTCCTCTTTGCACAAGCCCTCTCCCCCCCAGAAAAAAGAAAAAAGCAAAGCTTGACCCACTTTCTCAAACTGCTCAAATCCAACGAGGGAGATGAGTTTGACGGACACTTTAAAAATCTGGAAACCTCCAGAAGGAGCAGCTACATTTTCCCTTCACTGGTGCAATCAATGTGCCAACACTCGTTTTCTCCTCCCTCCGCCACAACCTGACTATTCTGCCTGTGTTTTCTGTTCCTCGCCACCGCTTAACAGCTGTGTTGTTGTGGGAGACCTCCCGGGGCAACCTCCCATGCCTGAACGCATTCAGCCAGCGCTGGGTGCCACCACAAAAGGATACCAGTGGTCAGCAGAGGCTCCACACCAAACATTTTATTTGCCGAGGTCTGTACATTCTTACCTTTCCAGGGTTTTGTCTCTTGAAAATGAAGAGATTACTTAAGAAGTTGGTCCCAGCCACCCAGCCTTCAGCCACATGGTGACAGAGTTCTGGCACTCCGAGCAGCCGAGGGTGAACGTATCCCCAGCTGCAGTGAAGGGAAGAATTCGGGGACAGATATTACTGCACCGACGTCAGTGCAGGAGTCACTTGTTACAAACACTCGTCTCAACACTGCCTTCTCTTCTCCCCCAGCTACTGGGCTCTAGAGCAGAGGCTCAGCCTGCCTTTCAAAACAGCACCCTGCCAAAAGCAGCACTTCTACGTACCACTCTACAGGTGTCCCAGTTCTCCCACAGCAGCTAAGGAGCAGTAATTTCAGTCATTCAGTCTTTTGGCTTACACTAGTTTCCACGCTTCTGGAGGGAAAGCGCAGTACAGAAGCAAATTATACTAATCCATTTGCTTTTTCTGCATTTATTTGGTCAACTGCAACCCCCAAGAATTCAGCACGAGGTTTACAAGCAGCCTTGTACCTTACTTCATACATTCAGTTACTTCGGAGGCATTGTCTTTGGCAAGCTCTATTAGTGCTTCTTAACTGCTAGTCACAAGTACTGGAAGGTTAGGAAGAGCAATTCCTTTTGCATGTGTGCCTCTTCCAAAAAAAAAAAAAAAGTTGTTTGGCAACAGCTCGAGTGATTTAATCTGGAGCTGAGCACCCAGCACAGGCGGCAGAAAGGTGTGCCCAGCGAGAGGAAGGTGTTATTACTAAGACAACACCCCGGCATTTCTCAACCCATTATTAACGCTGGAGTCAGATCATAGCTATGCAGTAACACCTTCTGGGACAAGCCTGTTAAACATTCCCTGTGGAGTCTCAGAAGACTTAATTATTTCAAAAAAAATGTTGTTTTTCTGCTACTGGAAGCGCATACAAAAAGGAATTGCTTTTAAGGCAGCACCTCTCACTTAAGGGTCCAGGGGGAAGTGGCAGGGGAAGTTTTACAACACTCTAGCAAGCATTACTGGAAGTCGGTATGAGGCAAAGATTAAGTACAATATAATGGCCTGGGCAAGTCAAAAACTTGTCACAACGGCGTGACAGAGTCCAGGGCTGCATCCTCCCTCCACTAAGCAGCTCCCTTCTCCCCCTTCCTTCCTCGCTCAAAGGAGCCAACATGACAAGCACGTGCAGGTAATAATCACACAGTATCACAGCAAAGTACCAAACAGCACAGGATTCAATTAGTTTCCTACCTCTCATTGTCTAATTCGTCAGGTCTTGCCACTAAAATATTAAGAACAGACACTGCATTAGTTGCAAGGAATTTGCCATGAGAATGCTTGCGATTTAAGCAAAGCTTTAATGAGCTGGGGAACACCTGGAAAAGACATTAACTGTCACTAGGAACTGGAGATGCATCGCTCCGTAACACACTTTGCACGTGTTCGTGTGACAGTACAAGACTGCAAGCGAGTCTCCTTGTTGCTCCTCAGCATTTGTTGAACGTTTTCTGGAAGGCTGCTCTGGTTACAGCGACAGGCATTAGCAAAAACACCCCCTCTCACCTCCCTCCCTTCCCCTGCACACACGCAGACGGTGAAGGAGGAACAGCTCGCTTACTGAGAGGCATCAGAGAGTTAAGTCTTTGGATACGTTCTCACCCAGGCTGGGGTTTGAAAAGGGACCCGGGGAGGTACCAGCTACCCTGACAGATAGAAATCAAGGTTACAGGGGAGCAGACACTTCCTCATTGCTTCAGCTACAGAGCCAACTGGCTGCCAGAAGCCGAGGAAAGCTGTAATGTCTTCCCAAGAACTGCAGGAAACACGGGCTGAAGCAGCAAGCTGGGAGTCGTACTCGCTAGTTAGTCAGGGAACCACCTCGGAGAGCACGCAAACCATCCACACTGCTTCGAAACAGCCTCTCCATGCAAAGCCCAGGAAACCCTCGGCTGCCACAAGTGGTAGTATTTGTGAGTATATTAATATGCATCACAAATGGTAGATAGAACTGCTTTGTTTACTGAAAGCTTTAGACTAACTTCATTAACAGCCATTAAAATGCTTCTCCTTTCAAAGCAATCTCCACTCAACAGCAAGGCTGGGACTCATCTGCATCCTCAAACACGAAGCTGGTTTAGTACAGACTCTGAAGAAAAATCCAGACGTATTCCACGTATGCTCCAATTTCTTGCTCTTGCACTGAATGCTCGGAAGGTGAATCACTGCTTCAAGCCCTGCGCTAGTTCACGTACACCAGATGTTTCGAGACCCTGAGACAAACACCAGTGGCACAAGCACGAAAAGCTCTTCTTATGTTTAGACAGGCTGGGGTTTTCCAGCTCCAGGACGAACGTTCCTACAGTGCTCCTGCCTGCTTCTAGGCTCACAAAGCAAAAACTCCAGGATTCTAATTATTTAACTCCAGGCAATGCATTAATACCTCTAGGGCTAAAAACAGTGCTTGATTTGCTGGTATCAGCTCAAATGTTGCAACTTACCTCCAATTTCAGGCCAGATTTTGTGCTTCCACTGATCTAGACAAACTACAACCATAAGGGTAAACGCAAGCAGGAACAGCAAGCGGAGAGAAGTCAGAGCAAAAAACCTACGAGGAAGAAACAAACAAATCGGTACCGGCCAGATTTGCGCGACCCCCGCAAAAGTGGTAACGCAAACTCCCTCTGAACGGACCGGTCGCTCAGTAACGGTCATGGCCAGAGAAAAGCGAGCCAGCGCTAAGCGCTGAGCACCCAGCCTGCCCGCGCGGTTCTGTAGCATATACACAGAAACTAATTTTGATGCTGGTTTAATACAATGAGAGTTGCCATGGCAACAGCTTTCCCAGTACTTTTATCTCATCAGTATATGCAGGAAACGTTATCTGTCATGAGCATTAGAGTTACGATACTTTTTCTCAAGCATGAAAAATATAAAAACTACATTTTGGACAGAGTTGTCAGACTTGATTATGCCTGGGCAGGCAGCGATATGCACATGCAGATATGTATGTGCATTTATTTTTAAAAAATTTGGTGGGTCATTCAAATTTTAGGAGTCTGTAATAAATTACACTTCTAATCTAGCTGATGGGTGGCTCTGCAGCTAAAATGGGAAAAGTGGTGTATGGAAATACAAGCTGCCCTAATTCTTGTTTTCTGCCTCCAGGAAGCCTTGGAATCATGCCAGACCCGGGTTTCAAAGCTGGAGCTCCATCAGCAAGAACAGCAAGCACAGCAGTCCGAAACAGTTAACGCCAAAGTGCTCCTGGGGAAATGCATAAATGTTATCCTGGCCTTCATGACTGTCATCTTAGTGTGTGTTTCTACTCTTGCAAAGTTCATTGCTCCTATGATGAAGAGTCGTTTTCATATCATCTGCACTTTTTTCGCAGTGACACTGCTGGCAATATTTTGTAAAAACTGGGATCATATCATTTGTGCCATAGAAAGGATGATTATACCAAGATGAAGCTGCTGGTCTGGCTGCTTTCTTTTTCTTCTCTTTTTTTCTTCTTTCCCACCCTCTTTTTTAAGTGCTGTGTGTATACAGATTTTTTTTTGTCAGTTTAAATGTGCACACTGGATGGAGAAGGCTACAAAGACTCTTGGACTTCAGGGTGTGAATACATAAGTGCATACTTGTTGGCAGTCACTTGCCTGTTCAATCCAATTGTGTCTAATTGGCTATGTCTGTGATGAACTTCTCGCTTATGTCAAGTCTTCTGCCTTAATCCAGTGGGTTTTCCACTTTACAAACCCACACCCACAGAAGATGGTGCGATGCTCTGGGAGGGATCCAAGGGACTGCAAGTCTCAGGTGTGCTTTTTACTAGACTAATGTGAAGAGCGGGATCAGGAGGGAGTGCACCATAATGTGTATCAGCCCTGTTAGACTAATAAGTTAATTTTCTCTCTGAATCCAAGTAGAATTATAAAACAGATTATACAGTCATATGTATTAATAGTTCTTGATTCTAAATAAATTGGTATCTGTATATGGCATTTCTAGTTTTCAGGACTAGGAAAACTTGATTATTCGGCTAGTAACCCTTTGCACAGAGAGTTTATTGTTTGTAAATTAGACCAGTGATGACTATTGACCACAGTCAGAGGTTGTTCTATCCTGGCACTATTCCTTACTGCACTCAGGAAATGCATCGATGTGGCATAAGGCTTCCAAAGATGAACTGAACTGAATGGCAGGATCTCTGGGCCACTTTGTAAAGGAGTAAAGCAGCAAGTAACTGATGGGTAAGTTGTCATGCAGACCAAAGCACTCACTTGCTTCAAGCCCTGTAACCTGCAAGGGCAAAGGAGGGCACAGGAAGGCGACATTTAGGTGAGCCTTTGTTAGCACTGAATTGTTGGGGTGTTCTTGACTGAACGCAGAGCAGATAGGTAGTGGGACTCCGGGTACAGTGGATTTTTTTTCTTGTGTCAGATTAAGGAATATGGAAGAAGCATCAGGGAACAGGTCTTTCGGGGAGCAGGGTTTTAAACTTCTGTAAGTATACAAACACTGTGCAGACTCTCTTGACAAACATTCCTGAAAATAATGTATTAGCATGCAGTACCACTACTAGGAGACAGGGTTCGTTTTGTTTTTTTACTGGAATTAATTTTTCTTGATTTAGGAACTGCAAAAAAAATTTCCCTGAAATCTGCTTGGCTTTCAGCCATGATGTAAAACAAGATTTTTGCTTTAAAAAAAAAAAAAAAAAAAAAAAAACCAAC